TCTCAAAGCTACAGTAGCTTTGATGTGCATTGTCCCTATTGCTTGTTGACCCCCGCCTCCCGTGAGACATGGGACAATACTGGAGGCTGCTTCGAGTACAATCCATTTGCCCTGAAATAGCATACTCTGCTGTGTGTCATCATAGCCACAAATTACCAGGGATTTGTTTGTCCATAAAGTAGCGAAGGGTGCTTAGTAGGCAGTAATGTTGTGCCAATAAGCTGCTTGCATATTCATTTTGCATGGGAGGTGGCTTCATTCCTCAGCAGTGACTCACTCATGTAAAATAAGGCACATTGGGTTCTAATTTTGTTAATCATTGTAACCACTGGCTATGTTCCGCCATAGCAATTGTCAGGAATTGAACCAGGTATGATTGATGAATTGTGGGTGAATTTCCTGTTTTAAACATAGTACAGAATTTGGTGCTAATGGCGCTGTGCACAATGGTGAATTTCATGCTGGGCATTTTTTCTAATTGTATAGTTTGAACCATATATGCTCAAACCATAAAACTACCTGCACTTGATATATGAATGCAATTAAAATCTGTAGTCAAGCAGTTTACTTAGCGTAGACAAATTCGTGTTTGTATGTGTTTAATTCATTACTGGCATTATAGTTGAACTTGAACTTCTGCTGAGCTCTAGCTAAGTCATAAATGTTCTGCAGAGCAGGCTTCCAGTAAGGGCAGGAGTGCTGAAACAAACCAGCCTTCTGTTAATGTCCAAGCACATACAGCCAAAGGAATTTAAGGTTAAATCTTGGTGGTTAATGAATTTCAGCTCCTCGTGAATTGTCAGAATCTGACAGCTCTGTGTGTCAGTCATCAGCACAGAGTTATTGAACATGTGTCTTCTCAAAAGTGTCGGATCCCTCAGTGTTGCCCCCGCAGCTGTCCTTCTGCACAGGCTTCGAAGGCAATGCTTTTGATAGGATGCAGCTTGCTACCAATGGCTGTGGTTGGATGACTGCCTTCCATTGGCCTTTCCTCTCAGACTGGGAGCATGGGTGTCAACGGGGAGTGGTGCATTGGAGCAGTGTAGCAACTGCAGTGGGTGTGGTGGTGTGGAGTTTCTAGCAGCTAATGGGGAAGACTTGGCTGGTAAGGGATGGCAAAATGCTGAGCTGGCACAAAGGGCTTTCAAGGGCAAGCAGGAACAGGTAGGAAAGGGGCTTGGCTAGGGATGAGTCAAGTCTTATTGGATAGGGGAAGGCAGTTGGAGGTAGCAGTGGTGCTGATGAAGGGATTCTGATAAACAGTATGTGGAATCATGGCATGATGTAATGCAGCCTTCCCCAAGCTTGACCCTCTAGGGCTAGTATTGGACTGTAATTCCCAGAAACACTCTGTGCTGGTTGTGGGGGGTTCTGGGAATTCTTCATCCCTATACAGCAGCATTTCCCACATGATGCCTTCCAAATGTGTTGTAATACATGTGGGAAAGGCTGCTCTATGGGGATGAAGAGAGCTGTTCTTGCCCCACTGATTCCAACAATCCATCTCCCCCTTAAAAAGTAGTGTTTGAAACTGTGATGTGGCCCCTAATTATATGCCCTGTGAGAATGGCTAAGAAGTAATGTTGCAACACTGGCAGCGAGTGGCAATGATTGCAATGGCACATGAGATAGTTGGGGTGTTGTAGTTGTCTCATACTAACAAGAGAAATCTGTGCTCTCTCCCTCTCCAGTTCTTTGGACTGCTACAATATGTAGGTAAAAGGAAATCTACTTCTCCCTCAAAAAAAAAAATCTCCTGAAAGAAAAATAGGTTGCTTCTTTTGAAGGCATCTTCCCTTCTACACAAAGACTGCAAAGGGACACTAATGAATCAAGTGTTCTTCTTGTAGTTGCTAGGCATGCTAAAATAGGCGGGTAGAACGAGGAGCAGTTGGATGGTAAATTGAACTGATCATGGGCTATGGGTGATGGACAAATGTTGCCTTTGAGTATGAAAGATAATGCTTGTTAGCTTAGCTAGCCTGAGTCAGTCAGAGCTTGCAGAAATACACAAATGGGAATGGAGTGGTGAAATATGGCATAGAGCCAACTGTTGGAACACACAAAGATGGATTCTAACAGTGATGGTATCTGATTATACTTAGTGTATTGTAGTCAGCTAGCAGGAAAGAAACTGCAAACCTGAATTTAGGTTATCCTTTGAGCAAACAGTCAATGCAGAGTAGCTTGCTTCAGGTAGTTGAAGGTAGTTCTGTGACCTGAACACTCTCTGGTAAATCGATAAGCTAGTTGGTCAACTTTAGCACTCACCTGGCATCTATCTATGCAATTCAAAGGATGTAGCCTAGATTAGATAGTGCTTGGAAAACACTATTGTATTGCTAAACAATGCCATTTCTCATGATACTTGGATAGTCTAGTAGAAGGTACAACTCTGCCCGATGTGATTGAACTGGTTTTATTCAGTCTATTAACATTAATCAACTTGGCAAAAATGGTAGAAATGGGGGTGTCAAGGACCAAGGACTGTGTTCAGACCTAGTCAGAGGAGCTTCCATGTATTGGTGGGTACAAGAACTGGCTGATTCCAGAGCATGGAGGGCTGTAAAAGGTCCTTGCTCAGTCCATAAAAGAAGCCCATCTGATGAAACAGTTGGATCAAATACCAGCCCACACTTCTTCCTCTTCTAAGAAACATCCCTTTTGTAGGCTTCAGTAATACTGGTGTAGCATTAAAAGGCAGTCAGTGCGGTTCTTCCTATAGTTTTAAAAGCATAGTAGCACACTCAATGGCTCTCAGTAATTTTCTGTAAACAAAGGCAAATGACTCTGACCAGACAAACATTAGTCAGCCCAAAATGCAGAGGTTGCCAATCTCCAGCGAGTAACCTAAAAAGGAAGTCATTTCTGTAATGCTTGGTGTGTGTGTTGCCTGCAAACCAAAAGAGGTAAGGAACATTAGCTGTCTGGGCAGTTGAGCTGCTGTGCCTGGCCTGCTGGGTGGGTAGGTGGCACACAGTGGCTCTGTATTCTGATTAGTGCTCTGCTGTAATTGGTTTTGCCAGTAAAGTACCAACTTGCAACAGGCTTGCTGTGTGGCAGGCCAAACAAACCAAACTTTAAAAAGGCAAAACTTAACCGTGGCTATATCCATACTGTACCTGATGAATGTGTTTGTACAGTTGTCAAAGGCATACCATATTTGTCAGAAATAAAGATAAGGCTATTAACTCTGTCTTCGTCCAGTGCCTGAACTGTGTTAAAACTTCCCTTAGTAGAAAACTGGGTAACTTCTTAACTAATATGCATAAACTTTGTTAGCAAAGGAAGTCTTTTCCCTTGCCATGGAGTTTTTGAGATTTAGTTGATCTCTGCTTAGAGGATAAATTCCAGTGTTCAGCTTCTGAGACATTAGTTGGTGATGTAGTTCTCTAAAAGTTCAGCTCTTCATTATATGAATGTGTTCCAGAGAATTCATATTTTCTGGATAAAGTCAGGCTGCAGCACCAGGAGGAAGACACTTAAAGCTACACCTTAGCTGGTTCAGTTCATGTCAATGTTCTAAGCACCTCACTATACTCAAATTTCGGTGTAGGACTTTCTTTGTATTTCTATTGATGCAGCTGACTCAGAGAAGCACTAGCTGTCTGAAAGGCATCATCTTGTTTCTCTTTTCTCTCTAACTTACATAATATGGTTCAGTATTAATTTGCAAAATAGAATTTAAAACTTGTAACACTGACAGCTGTCCCTTAGCTTGATTTGATGTTGGAATGTCAGGTGCCTAAAACTGCCCAGCCTACTAGTACACATCCCTGCCAAAGGGGTGTCTCGTGTCTGGTCTGCTGCAGGATCTCTTCTCCTTGAGCATTGATGGAGCAGCTTCAGAAACAGGCAATTTACTGCTGGTATTCTTAACCACATTATACACTCACAGATGTGTTCATGGTATATAGGTTGTTTCAGTCACCTCCCTTTATTTTTAATTTTTCCATGTGGCACTTCTTCAAGGAAGGTTCTAAAACTCCTGACTCAAGAATAAAGGCTGCGGGAGGAGATACAGTCACTTGCATCTAGCTTGCCGAGACAGCCAGTGCCTTAGGGTGGGAACAGCAAAAGTTCTCCAGCTCCCATCACGGAAGATTTGAAGACCTGTTAGCAAGCATGCTAATGTAAAAGCCAGACTCTGAACCTGTTTAAGGTCAAATTAGATGTAATGTGGGGACTGCAGGTGGCGCAGTGGTTTAAACCGCTGTGCTGCTGGGCTGGTTGATCGAAAGGTTGCCAGTTCGAATCTATACAACGGGGTGAGCTCCCATACTCTGTCTCAGCTCCTGCCAACCTTGCAGCTTGAACGCATGCAAATGCAAGTAGATAAAAAGGTACCACTTCGGTGGGCAGGTAACAGCGTTCCGTGCACTTCGGCGTTTAGTCCTGCCGGCCACACGACCACGGAGACTGTCTGCGGACAAATGCTGGCTCCCTCAGCCAGGAAATGGAGATGAGCACCGCCCCCTAGAGTCAGGCATGACTGGACTTAATGTCAAGGGGAAACCTTTACCTAGATGTAATGTTGGAAGATCAGTGACCAGAGTTTTTCAGTCCTTGAATTGAGCAGCATGTTACAGTAGGTGGTTCCCATTTCCTTTGCCATTTCCCAGGAAAATTGCTCAGCCACAGTTGACATCTGTCCCACAGGGAAAAGAGTGCAGGTTCCTCTGTGCACCAGAGAGCAGCCTTGAAGAGGTAACAGCCAATTCTGCTGAAGTGTTCTCCCCTGCAGTATATCACAGTAGATATGTGCTCCCGGAAGCTGCAATTGGACTTCTTAGAACTACGTACATTATATCTACTTGTGCTTATGCAAACTTGATTGCTTGATTATTCCTTTGCTTGCCCTTCTAAATTGCCTATAAAGGAACTAATGCAGGTCACCAATTTAAACACACCAACCAGATGTTTGCGGATAGCAATTGGGAGTTGCCTCCTGTTTCTCCAGCTCTCAGTACTTACAACAGTTTGCCTCTCCTGTGTTGCAGGTAGTCCGTAGCCGTCTAGAAAAACAAGGTATCCCTGTCCACAACGTGAGACTGAATGGCTCTGCTGCAAGCCATGTGCTACATCAGGACAGTGGCCTGGGGTACAAGGATCTGGATCTCATTTTTGGTGTAGACCTGAAAAGTGAGGATGTCTTCCAGCTGGTGAAAGATGTAGTGATGGATTGTCTCCTGGACTTCCTCCCAGAAGGGGTAAACAAAGACAAGATCACTCCCATGACTCTGAAAGAGGCCTATGTGCAGAAACTGGTGAAAGTGTGCAATGAAACAGACCGTTGGAGTCTTATATCACTGTCCAACAACAGTGGGAAGAATGTGGAACTCAAATTTGTAGACTCTCTTCGGCGGCAGTTTGAGTTCAGTGTAGATTCTTTTCAGATAATATTGGACTCACTGTTGCTCTTTGGAGAGTGTTCAGAGAACCCAATGTCTGCAAACTTCCACCCTACTGTCACCGGAGAGAGTATGTATGGGGACTTTGAGGAAGCGATGGACCACCTGAGGAACCGGATCATCGCCACCAGGAATCCAGAGGAGATCAGAGGTGGTGGGCTTCTGAAGTACTGCAACCTCCTTGTAAGGGGATTTAAGCCCAGATCAGATGTGGACATGAAGGCGCTACAGAGATACATGTGCTCCAGGTTTTTTATAGACTTTCCTGACATTGGGGAGCAGCAGCGGAAGCTGGAGTCTTACCTTCAGAGCCACTTTGTTGGGATGGAAAGTAAAAGGTACGATTGCCTGATGACCCTTCACAGAGTGGTAAATGAGAGTACAGTGTGCTTGATGGGACATGAAAGGCGGCAGACGCTGAACCTTATAGCCATGTTGGCTGTGAGGGTCTTGGCCGAACAGAACATCATCCCGACTGTCACAAATGTGACCTGTTACTACCAGCCGGCACCATACGTCAGCGAAATCAATGTCAACTATTATGTCACCCACATGCAACCTCTTCTGCCGTGCAGTCACTCCTACCCAACTTGGCTCCCCTGCAACTGAGCGCTGGAATGGCTCCAGTCCTTGTCCTCTGGGGAGCAGAGGTTGTGCGCTCAGAATAAGAAATGTTCTTGAGTGTGTTGCTCCTACATTGGAACTAAGTCTGCTGTATATTGTGGGAAATTGTGCAGTGTTATGAGTAGTTACCAGAAATGTTTACAGTAGAAAATGCTTGAGTTATGTATGGGGTGGGTGGATAGGATTAGGTTCAAGGTAGAGCTGCACTACCTGAGATGCAAGCTGATTTTTTTCTTTTTTTAGTACAAGAAGCATTAAGGGCTGTGCAGACTGTTTCTGAAGATATGCCAAAGTGTCCGATTCCTTTTTAAGGGACCAAAGAAATCCTATTCAAGTGCCTGCAACCAAAAAAAAAAAAAGTACTGTAACCTTATTATTTTGTAAGGGCAGAACTCCCTATCGGTGGTAGTTTGGGATGTCTGCAAGTTGGGTCATCCAGTCATTTCCGTCACGGGATCAGGATGGGCAGGAGCTTGCAAGAACAGTAGCTGTGCTGTGACTTGCTTTCTGATGGACCAGCAGTATTGATTAGCAGCCAAATGGTGGGGGTGGGGGAATAGGACTGGGTTCATAGCCATAAAGATGGTTTTGGCATAGATGGGTGGTTGTCCCCATTCACCATCATGAAGGCTAGAAGAAGAATGGGATCCTGCCCCCAAAGTATTGCTCTTTAAAATGTGCAGTGCCAAACCTAGGAGGTGACTTCATGAAGGAGAGGCTTTAAAGGAGTCTTTGCTTGTCGCAGTATGCCCTTTCTGAAGGAAAATCAAAGACGTTTCAAGTGGGAGTTCTGAGATACTAAAAGTCAGCCTAGCTGGCTGCCAACTGGGATGAATTGGTGGAAGCACAAACAGATGTAGGCAGACCGATCTGTTCCTGGTAGCAGTTGTGAGCTAAGAATTAGGTCCTGGGCCAAGAGGCCTGGAAAATATGGAAAATGATGTGCTTGCCAGCCCTATGAGCTGCTATTCTTTTCTTTATCGAGTGCCTGTGTCTGCCTGCTTGACTCCACATCAGAGTAAAACGATCTTCTGTGTAGCCCAGCAAGAGGCTTCTTGTTGGCAAAGGACTGATGTGGGGAAATTCTCTCAAGTTTGGTGCTTTTCTGAGGTAGAAGAGAGACGGGAGGGAGGTCTTGAAAGCTGAACTCTGTGTTAAAGAGGCGCTTGATATCTTGTACAAAATAAGCAGACTTTTGAAGTAACTACTTATGCAGCACAATAATCCTTTTCTGGATATTTTGGATTGCATAGCAATTCCTCGTGCAATATGTCAGTTCAGGTTGATTATGCTTTTCTTAGGAAGCTGAAGCAGTGAATACTTTAGCTTTTTTGGCAGGCCTGCTCTGAAAGGGCTGTATGAAAGATGTTTCATGGTGTATCCTTGAAGGTCAACCTACTTACTGATCTGTTCCTTTGCAATAATGCTGTACCATAATGGGGCAGGCTGAAAAAAAATGAAATAAAATGTCATACTTGGAATGTGTCTAGGTAAAATTCTGCCTCTTCCTGGGGAATGCGAGCTGGGTTGGCTAGACCAAACCATTTTCGGTCTGCTGCCTGCTTCAAGTCTTCCCATCTTGACTTTCACAACTCATCCTGGCTGAGAAGGGCTGAATGCTTGCTTCTGAGAGGTCCAATGCTATGTAAATAGGGAGTTCTCCTGAAATACATTCAATGACTCTTGAAGACATTTCCTCCTCTACGTACTGGTGAATTCCTCCCTGCTCCAAGATGAATGTGGCCTCGGTGCCAAAAGCAAGGAGCTTCATTGAGTTTTCCCGTCTTCCACTTGAAGAGGATGCTTCTAGACTCTCCTTGGGGAGCATTTCAATAGTTCACATTTAAAAGGGTTTGCACTAAAGTAGCACGGCTGACTGGCTAGCAGCACTTTTTTGGCTGATGGGAAACTTAAGCATTAGAAGAACTGCCTCTTTACAAAGTTAAACTGTTTAAAGGCAAAAACAAAACCTTCCCCTATAACCAAGGGCTTGCTGGAGGGGTTTTTAATGCATTTTTGTGGCATGGGGATGGGTGTGTGTGGGGTGCATTTCTTACAAATGGAGGCTGCGTCAGACATATGCTGTGATCATGCTGTTTTCTTGTATGTGTGAGGGTAGCCTAAATATTTGAAGAGGTTGACACTTTGAATGGCACTTCTAGACTTGTGTTTGAATGTGTTCGGCAGCAATCAGACCTGTCATGCAGTAGGCCTGACATAAGACTTGCTAGATTCTTTAGAATCTGTCACCTTAAATAAATACAATGTATTGAATTTTGTTGGATTCTTCTTACTTGACCACATGAAGATACTGCAGTTCTTGTTTCTCAGTCACTAGCCTTCCCTTTGACCCCTCTAACCCCTCTCCTCTGAAACAAGACCGATGTGGGCAGAATTGGAGCCAAGCACAATGACGACTCCCCAGTTACTAGCCCTCCTTCTGCTTTACCAATGGCTTTCCTCAGGCACTTCAAATTAGAGCTGCGAAGGGGAGCACACAGGCAATCTCTAGCACAGCCTTCCCTAGCGTGGCATCTTCACATACCTTGGTATGCATTTCCTGTCATCCCTAAGAATTGGTCATGATGATGGGGGCTGTAGGCAACACCTCTGGAGAGTACCATGTTGGGAAGGCTGGTTTAGTATCAGGTACCAACTCAGGCATGCTACCACAAGCCCGTGGGCAGAGGTCAGCTCTGAGCTTCAGCAACAAGGGACAAAGCATTAGCACTGTATAGTCATACCATGTTGGTGAAGGGACAGCATAACCCTCGCCAATTCTTCCTTCATGTAGAACAGTGTTTCAGCATGCATTGAGCCCCCCCCCCAGTACTAAAAGTTTCAGGGGGAAAGCAATACAGACCACCTCCATGGGGGTGCAGGGCTTCTTTGTAATGGAAGTTGAGGCATGTTGGAGTAAGCATCTTCTAAAGTGGAAACAGAACTTGATACAAGTGGAAGAATTCACTAAAAATCCTGATCAGGAACTAAATTACCTGAGGGTAGAGGTGCTATATCTGTATGTGAGTGTTGCATAAAGAGAGAATTGAGCTAATGTGCTGTTTTTAACATGGGCTTTAAATTGCAGTCTGTTCTGGAGGGGAGGGGAGAAAATAGAAGGATTTTGAAGAACCCCAAGTTTAGCATCCTTCATGTGGCCCCCTACCCCATGTGATTCTGTCTTAATTTTTCTGTTAGCATTCACATTAGCAAGGCCCAAAACAGTACAGAAAGTTACCTTCTGGTGTGACAGTGAATTTGGCCTATATGCAAAGTATACGGTAGTTCATGTCCTACCAAGGTCTAGCTCTCTTGTGCCATTCCAATAGCATGATCTCTCCTGTCTCAGTCCATTGCGTACTGCAGTTGGCAGTTGTCTCTGAATCTGATCAGAGCAGCACAAAACACCTGATGTGGTTGGCTTTTTCCATTGTTGGAGCAGATCAGGCTAAACAAAAGGATGCTAGTGGAAAACACCAGTTGTGATCTGAAAGGGGCTTTCAATGTTTGGGTGTTTGAGCTCTTTTAAAATACCAAATAAAAATCTATTTTCTCAAAAGGTGTTCTGTCGTTCTTGGCTAAGCATAAACACAGTATGTGGTAACAGTGCTCAAGGCAAAAGCGCTCAATGCCTTTAGACACAATTACTGATCAGTGGCTCTAGAAATAAAGAGAAACTGTTTACTAGCTCAAGTATAATGCAACTTACTTTGGACGGTGGGAAGAGAAGCCAGCAACCCTCAGCTGCTTAAATAAATGCTGCTTTTATGCATGCTTGAAATTGTATGTATGTATTAGATTTATATCCTGCTTTTTTTCTTACAATGAACTCAAAGCATCATTCTGCTGCTGCTGTCAAGCTTATCCCTAGAACATTCCTATAAGCTAGGTTAGGCTGAGAATCTGTGGCTAGCCCAAAGTCACCCAGTTGGCTCCATGGCCAAGCGGGGACTAGAACCCAGATTGCTTGAGCACCAGTCCTGTACTCCTAAGCACTACACCACACCTTTCATGGATATACCTATATCACATGTTATGACAGAAAGCTGACCTGGTGTCCCCCAAATTTTTTGACCTATAAGCCCCATAATCATGGGGGGGGGTACTTAAAGGGATGTTCTACCTTCAGTAAAACCCTGCATGAGGAAAAATTTAAGTGAATCAAATTAATGGAAGCTAAAACAACACATCAAGACTTGCCTCAAAACCCTCAGTGAAGATACTCTCATGGTAGTGGGGGCTAATGGGAGCTGGAGTCAATATCAGGGAGCTGCAGGTTCCTCACCCTTGCATTAGGCATGGATTTTTAGACTTGGCTATTTAAGTCTATAGTTCACCAATTGATATGCAGGTTCATGCACTTTGAGTGACACCTAGCAACTGGCCCATGTCCAAGAAAGTCCACCTGAAGCTTTTAAAATTCAAGCAAACTTTGTGTGAGGTATGGAAGATGAATCAAATGGCTTTAACTGCAAGATAATAGCTTGATTCTGGTATCTGCTGATCCAAAGGATGTATTGTACTTTTTCTGCTGAACTAGCTTACACATGGTGGTTTGATCCAGATTTAGTCATATGTAGAATAGGCTCTTTAAAAGCAATTGGACTTGAGCTAGTCATAACAAAACTCCCCTTGATTCCAGTGGGTTTATTCTACATAAGTCTGTCTGACCCATTGGAAGAACGGAGCACTGAGTCAGTGGCAGAATCAAATCTGTTTTCTGCTTGAAGTGTCTTGGAAACCCTGCTTGGCCTAATTTCTGCATTTTCAGATTTTTTGTTGAGGGGGGGAATTGTTAATCTTGGGGTCATTTGATCTGTTTCTTAGTGCATAATAATATTAGGCAATACTTATGCATAATTATTGTGCACACTTCTACCAGCATTGCAATAATTACTATTTTCTCCACCACCCCATGGCTGAAGCTTTCTATGCAGTTTACAGCAATCCATAAAACAATACAAGAGAAGTAAAATACAATACATAAGAATAAATAAAAGCAAAGCAAAAAATCAACACTGCTAACACTATGACAATCTGAGCTGTATAGGCATATTTTGGGAACAATTTTCCCTTTTGTGGAACTCCTGCTTTCCACACCCAATAAAGAGGATTTTGGAGGCAGTGAAGTAGTGATCTCGGACACTGAACTGACCTTTTTGGCTGTGCAGGAATGTTGAAAGCATTTGCTGTCCCCCACTGGCTCCTCTGTTCCTTCTCAGTTTAGCTGCAATCTTCCCAGTAGCCAGGGGACAGAGGAAAGGGGAATTGATTTTCCCCAGCAGAAATCCCGTGTTCCCTGTTGTAATGTCAACTATTTTGGGCTGGCTTGGTCTTGAATGGACCGTTAATTCCATTCGCTGTACAAAAGACCTGCCAGAAGTGTGTGGTTGGGATGGATCAACACACCTGCCTGAGTTTTTTGGACTCTCCCTATATAACCATGGGAATTGTCATGAGGAGCACCTGCCATTACCATAGGTTTGTGCAGAGTATGGATGTCAGACACATTAGTCCTGAAGCTGGAAAGAGTTTGCCATTCCTGCTTGTGGGTTTATAGTAATTGTTGAAGTGGATCGTGTGAACGAATGGCAGTATGTGTCACTATTTAAAGCATTTTTGTACCCCCATTTCTCAACTCAAACTCTCCCAAAGCTCTGACAATTAGGAGTAACGAGTCCCAATCCTCGGGCACGCAGTCTAAAAGACTTGATGGCAAAGGAAAACAAACTGAAAAGGTTGGGAGGGGAAGCAGTTCTTTAGTTCTGAAGTTCTTACAGGTGTTCTTTCTGGCAGGGAGAAGCAAAGCAAGCTTCTTCCAGCAGCTCCTTACCTGTCTGCGGAGAGACAAGACCAAGTCTGCCTCCCCCTTGCCTTGGCAGTCTTCCAGAAGGAGCAGCCTCAGAGAGACCCTTGGTCCCCGAGTGATGACAGAAACATGCACTGTTCCCTGGACCTCTGCCAGGGCTCCTGTCAGGGAGCCGTGCTCTTTCTGGCAAAGAAAGCTCCCTGCAACTTCTCCCTCCCTCGCCACTGGCATCTCTGAGAATTCACTTTCAGAGGTAAAAAGGGGCAGATTGCAGCCTGTTTCAAAGCTGACAAGGAATTACTGTAACTGCATTATAGCGTTTGTTTTTTAAACAGTGTGGAAGATATAAAGTAAAAATGATTCCTGCATTTCAGAATCCAAATAGCACCTTCAGGAACTATTGCAATTAGATGGCTGGAGCTGCCAATTTCCGTTTCTCATTTTTCTGTTCTTCAGTTGTCTCATCTGTATCTTGCTCTAGCATACACATTTTTGCAAGCAATTTTCCTAATAAAATGAAGTTTGAATGTTTTTTGGGGAGGGGGAGATGAAGAAATATTCATGCCCTTTGACTTTTCCATGTTTGCTGTATTACAATCTGGAACTGAAAGAAATTTAATTGGCCTTGTTACCACAGGATGTGCACAAGAGACTAAACAATGTGAAGCTGCAACAGTGCTACTTATTGTAACACAAAAATTAAGTAGATGAAAACAAACTGGCCCTTGTTTGTTTCATAAGGGATACATCTTCCTAAGTCAAAGCTTGGTAGCAATTACAGCTGTGAACCTTAAGGAAGTCTCTCTCAACTTCGTGCATTTGGATCCTACCATTGTTCCTGGCAAAATTGATCCAATTCTGTTGGATCGGATGGGAGCTGTTGGTGAGCAGCACTTGCAACTCTTGCCACAGAGTCATGCTGAAGTCTGGGCTTTGTCTGAGCCGTTCTAAGGCATCTCAGAATCTTCATTTTAAAGTACTCTGGTGTGTTTGGCTGCATGTTCAGGGTTACTGGCCTCCTAGAAGGTGAATCTCCACTCCAGTCTCAGGTCCCTTGCAGACTGAAACGGATTTTCCTCCAGAATTAAATTCTGCTTCCCTCTTGCCCTCAGTCTTGTCCAGTTTCTAGCCCCAGCCAAGGAAAACCATCCCCACCACACTTCATTGCAGGGATGGTGTTTTCAGGGCAATCAACACGTTTGGTCTTCACCACATTTTGCAACAAGGCAAAGCAGTTCAAGCGTTGTCCCAGCAGGCCGGAGAACCTTTCCCCACATATTTGCTAGGTCTCCCACAGGCCTTCTTGCAAATCCAACTGTGTGTTGATAAAGGGTTGTTTCAGCCATGGCTTGCTTCTCACCACAGTTCCATAAAGCTCAGCGTTGTGGAGCATCCAAATGACAGTTGTCCCATGGACACTTTTTTTCCATCTCAGCTGTGGCTCTTCAGCTCGTCTGGAGTTATTGTTTGCTTCGGTGGCTAATGCCCTCCTTACCAGCTCATGGAGTTTTGACAGTTGGTCTTCTCAAGGCAGAAACTGGGCTGAGCCATATTCTTCCCATTCTGTATTAATGGATTAAAGAGCACTCTGGGAGATGTTCATAGCTGGGGTGTGGTGGTTATAACCCCAACTGGTGCTTCAGCACCACTTTATCCCATTGCATTGTTGCACTATTAATTTAGATATACTCTCCAACAAACTTGGGGTCTTTCAGAAATGGACATACATAATCTGAGATCACGTGGCACTGGAACTGTATAGAAGTAGACTCCAGCCAACTACTTACATGACTTTTGGAGGCAGCAGGAAGTGCCACAGCTTATTGAGACATGTCACTGCAAAGGGGGTGAATACTTATCCAAACCACAAGTGACCCTTTGTTTTTCTTTAAATAACTTCTGCTCTGCACTAAAAATATGCTGCACCTTCACGGTGCTGGGTATGTTGTGTACAACAGCTTCATCTTCCAGTTATAACACAACAAAATGTGGAAAAGTGAAGGGGAGGGTGAATCAAGCCATTGTACCTGCTCTAAGAAACCGAGGAACCTCTTCAGATGAGCAGCCTGCCAGTCTCTATCAATTGTCTGTCTGTCTGTCTGTCTGTCTGTCTGTCTGTCTTTCTTTCTTCACAATGCCCTGGGTGTTGCATTGGTCAGAGCATTATGGGAAAACCAAAATGGCAACCTCTACTGGCATCCACCACTCTATCACCACCACTCAAGGAATTATGCAATGTTTAGAGGACTGGGAGTAGGAAAATGGCCATGCACCAAACAGCAGCCCGCCAGTCATCAAAATGGGCAAGAGCAGACAGGCAGTCAAGCAGGTACCACCACCACCAGTCCTAGCAGTTGCTCAAATATGCTGTATGCTAATGCTTTACCTGGAAAACATTACTCCTGTTATCAGGAGCAAAATATGTACACAAGCCCTGCAAATATAAGGTAACCTTTGTTATGCAGCAAGGGAGGGGCTTCATGCAATAAAGGCATTGTGTCAATGGAGGGCAAACAGAGGCTAGCCCACTCTGTTATGGCCCCACATCCTGGCTTCTAGCTGCTTGCTATCAGGCTGCTACCTCCCAGTTGCAATTAAATGAAGCCTAATTCTTGCAAATGTGATTTCAGGGTTCTCCGGAATCTGCTCTTGGAAACGCTTTGTAAACAAACTATTTGGCTCACTTACAACAGGAAAAAATCTCCATCAGAGGGCCAAGATGTGGGAGTGGAAAGTGTGTTGTTGCACTT